AGGTTAGTGTATTTAAAATGGTAAATGTAGTATAAAAAATTGTTACCATGCCCATGTTTAGTTGACCTGATACAAATGTTTATCATCTAAAATTAGTTGGGGGCTCAGGTCTGTGCTGCTGTTATTTTGTGGGTCAAAAGCTGAAAGGTTTGGGAACCACTGCACTTTCCAAAGTCGGGCTTGGGACCCAATTATGGGTCATGAAGCACCTTGGATAATCTCCAGAAATCAATTTAAAGGGTAATAAAAACTGCTGATGTAATATTTTCCCTGTAATTATTACAAAAACACAAAATAAGTACAAAGAAATATTTATATTTGTGTACTAGCTGTTTAGATTGTCAAAAAGCCTGTGTTTTTAGGGTTATTAATGAAGTTTGTGTACTCAAGCCAGTAATATTTGGGGTCACAAGTTTTTGCCATGGATATTTTGTGGGACGGAAGATAAAACGTTTGGGAACCACTGATCTAGCGTGCCCCACCCAAACCCTCCACCTTGAAACAACTGGTCTAAAACCAATAGGAGGTGATCTGGACAATATTAGTTTATAAATCTAAATTGAGGAGAGGACCAGCAGTAAGCAGAGTAGTGACACAAAAACAGCACATAAAATGTTTTTAGGAGGGGAGCTATAAACTTAAGAAAACCTGTCTAGTAAATGCTTTGTTCAAATTAAAGACATGTTTGACTATTTTTTTTTAGAGGAAAAGCATAAAAAGTAAAGACAGTCGACATGTTTGTAAAGAAAAAGAACTGTGGAAAACCAGATGTTCTGATCTCTGCTCATTAAATAAAATATAATCATAAATGATATCATATAATGAAATAATGTTAAGTAAAATAAACTGAATTTCAGCTGTTGGTGTTTCATTAACAGGTTGCAAATGTTTTCTATTTGGTGTTTTACAACAACATAAGAGAAATTTTGAAAGTCTCATGGTTCTGGTGCCGTCTGAGGACTTGAAGTCTTTTGGTTCGTTAGTTGATTATTTGAACACGTCTCTGCTTCCTCTGGCTGCACCTGCTTTAATCTGCACACCTGTGAGTCCCAACTGAGTCTCTGCGACGACTGAAACTCATTCGTTTACTTCATACGACYGTTGCAAAAACTGAAACAAATTAGTGCAGAAAAATGTGAGGAGTCTTTAAACAAAAAGTGCAAATATGGAAACTAAAACAAGTTTGAACAGAACTATAAATAAAGTGAAACAACAGCATGTTTAAATAAAAACATGAAGTAAACCACAGAGCTGATTAAACATGTTAAATATAAATGTTTTCTGTAGGAGGTTTATTACTGTGTGGAGCAGAAACTTCAGCTGATCTAAACGTTTCTGTTCAAACATCGTTTAGACGGGAGGCGACACCAAGCGCTAACTTTACTCRTCAAACCTCCTTAAAGCTGTGTCTTCTCTCGGGGGGGTCAGAGGGTTTCAGTTGGGCCTGCAGYTTTCTGTTTGCTTTCAGAACTCTCTGTAGACCACAGGTCGACTTGTTCCAGCTGACGTGACACGAGATTGTAAAATTCTTCCAAAGGTTTGAGTGAAACAGATCCAGCTCCATCATCTCTCAGATGAGCTCAGTCTGAAACTCTGACARTGAGGTGGGTGACGTGCCCACCTGCCGCTATAAAAAGACTTAAACCCTTGATTGTTCTGCCTTACATCACATCCATACACCTGAAATCWGGTTAAAGGTTACTTGAAGCCCAAGACAGCAGCAGTTAGCTGTAGCACTTCTGTTTAACAGTGTTAAACTGACTGAAGGTAACCATGAAAAGCAGCAAAATGTTGAAGACTGGTGGTTTTCAGACCACAGTGATCCAGTTTAGAAGTAGCTCTGCTCAGACCAGCTGATGGGGGCTGTTCGTGTTAATGGTTCATCACCATCACTTTCACATTACAGCAGCAGAAATTACTTCTGTGTGCCAGTACCACATTTTTTTTAAAGTTTGAAGACTGAGGTTTTAAAGCAGAGGAGCCCAAAGGGGGGCCCACGGGACAAATTTGGCTCTCTAAGCCACTGGTTCCCAAACTTTTTGTCTTCTGACCCAAAAAATATCCATGGCAAAAACTTGTGACCCCAAATATTACTGGTCTGAGTACACAAACTTCATTAACCCTAAAAACACAGGCTTTTTGACAATCGACACAGCTTGTACACGAATATAAATACTTATCTTTACTTATTTTGTGTTTTTGTACTAATTATAGGAAAAATATTACATCAGCAATTATTTTATTACCCTTTAAATTGATTTCTGGCGATTGTCCAAGGTGCTTCATGACCCATAATTGGGTCCCAAGCCCAACTTTGGGAACCAAAGTGCAGTGGTTCCCAAACCTTTCAGCTTTTGACCCACAAAATAACAGTAGCAGAGACCTGTGCCCCCAACTATTTTTGGATGATAAACATTTGTATCAGGTCAACAAAACATGAGCATAGTAACAATTTATCCATTTTAAGTATACTAACCTCACTCCTTTGTAACAACTAGGGCAAAAATGTAATTAATTCAGAAAATCTTTTCAGGACCCCACCTTGATGTTTCGGGACCCTACTTTGGGTCCCGACCCCAACTTTGGGAAACACTGCTCTAAGCCATTTGATTTGGCCCACCAGTTACTAGGTTGTAACCTGTCATCCTATGTAGAAACAGTATTTCCAATTAGTCATTTCATCCATTGGCCCAATGACTTTATAAGAGGCTGTAGTGTATATAGTTTCACTTATGGTGCTGACTTTATCTTTGATATATTAAGTTTAAACATGAAACATGAAATATATGTAACAAAAAGAGGTATTTAGATTAGATTTAACCACACGTAGTTTTTGCACAAGTTATAAGACCACAAAAACTCATTTTATCAATTTATGAAATGTCCTCTAAATCTAGGGTTATATTTCACGCAACACACAGGGTGCACGGGGGGGGGTGACGCAATCACGGCATCCCGCCCCGTGCGTTGGCCCTGTATGATGTCCTGATGTGTGGTCGTGCACCTCTGAGACTCATTTCAAGATAGATGTTTTCGAAGGCGCTCAGGTACGCATGTAGGTCATTTATACGATCCCTGCACGATAAATCATAAAGATAACCATGTTGCACTGAACACCTGGAAAGAAATTGCATTTCTTTGTTTTGTTTAAGAATATACAAACAAAAAAACTTCCTTTTAAGTTGACTCTTTTCAGTTATTTCTAACTTTTTTGTAATTTCTACGTCAACACGTTGCTCAAAACTATTGTTGCAGAGTTACTACTAGGGGTCGACCGATACATCGGCCGGCCGATATTTGCGTTTTTTCCTTGTATCGGTATTGGCCGATATGTTTGTCTGTTCGSCTGATCCATTCTTTGGATCACACGAGCGCATGTTGCCGCCCCCTCCCTGGGAGAGAGTGGTTGGTAATGTTGTAAAACAGTGCCAACAACAATAAGGTTGAGTTTAGAGCTTTTAATGTGTTTTAACTGTTTAATTTAGTTTTTCTGCCCTCTGCCCATTGGGGGTGGGGGGTGGGCAGCGGTCCGTGTTAAGTTTCACTTCCAAACGGGAACGCCATGTTTTGCTTTCACTTTGGAATCGGACTGTAATTAGCGTCTCCACGTTGTTTTTCTTTAAAAAAATGCTGGAACTGCTCACAGGAGGCATAGAAGAACACTTCTATCTTCTCCCTGCTGGATTAAAATGGCCGAGTGTGCGTTCCAAAGTGCTCAGCCTTAAGCCTTCACTGCTTGAGCGTGTGGCAAACTTTCTGGACAGACTAAAACAGAAATGGGCCACTGCACTGGCTGCTAGCTTAATCATTAAAAACAAAGGACTTTCCTAAAAAAGTATTTGTATTTCATGTATTATATTACTGCATTTGACCCGTAACCCCAGATATACTTTTATTTTGGCCCTCAGGGAAAATGTTTGGGCACCCCTGTTTTAAAGATTGTAGACTGAGGTTTTTTAAAGACAGGAAGTGTATCTGCATTCAGACTAACCTTCAGTTCCGTCAGAAACAAACTTTATTTCGCCTCACTGAGGAGCAGTCTGCAGCAGGGAGTCACTTCAACAGAAGGACCTGCTCATCATCCCAGACTCCAACCCGAACAGTTCCCAGCATTTAGACGAGAGGAGYCTGGACCTCTTTATTTCACGCACGGCTTCCTTTGTGGGACTTGRCAGTTGTCATTAGGGACACTTATATAAGGTCACATTTCACAGAAACCCACCGTTAGAAGTGTTTTTAAGGTGGTGAAGAGTTTAGAAGGCTCTAAAAACCCATCAGAGGTTTTGAGCCTCCGCTATCTAGCTGTTCCATTTATTACACTTCCATGGGTTAACTAATAAAGCCACCCACCAGGAGACAACATAAAAACCTATTGCCTTCTCCCACTATCTGTGTTCTCTTTCCCACCTGTTCCCCCCACATTCCTGACAGCGACTGACCCATGTCCTGGGATCGGCCCGGCTTCATGCTCCCTGTTCCAGCCTGAGAGCTGCTTTCTTTTTAATTCAACAACTAACTGCCTGCATCCTTTACAGAGAAGAAGACATGTTGTTTCTTCCTTCACATTTAGTGTTGGCATCGTTTACTGAAAGACAGAAAGTTCAGTTTAACTCAGATTCTTCAGAAAGATAAAAATAGATCAGAAAATAAAAGTTTTTTTGTTTTCTGTTGCTAAAACCAGGCGTTTGATGATGTTTGATTTTCTCTATGGGGCACCAAGTGTAAAATGAATAGTAAAAACAAAATCACTAACATATTTTTCATTATTTAGCTCACTTCTTGAGTGTTAAAAAGTAACTGTCAAGTAACTGTCCTTTTTGCGTTGTGATGTGCAAACTAAAGTATGAAATAATAGTTTCCAGCTCCAGTATGATAAATAAATAAAACAAAGCTCTGATTATCAACAATAAGAAACATCCAGCTTATTGAAAGGATAGGTTTAAAACTCAGAYATGAAAAACATTCACATCAAAAATGCCAGTGTTAATTTAACACCCACAGTGTTAATTTCAACACCAATTAAGTGTCTGTGTGTGTGTTGTGCTGGTGTTAATAACATTTGAGAAAGTGTTCACACCCATTTTTTGTTAATTCAACACCAACCAGTGTTTAATATTCAACAACACTGGGTGTCACATTAAAGGACATAATATGCAAAATTCACTTTTTTCCAGGTTTTTTTTTTAACTTATATTTGGGTCTGTTCTACTGAAAAGGTAAAATTTCATTATCTGAGATTCATTTTGTGAATTAAATCAAATGAACATGTTTTGTATAGCCCACAGATGGATCCTAACTTGTTCTAGGACCCCCATATTAGGTCACCTTTAACATAAAAATAGTGTTAGTGTTAAAAGTAACACCAGTGTTTTATTATTAACAAAGGAAATTGTRGTGTTAGAAAGGTTAACAGACACCACAAGGTGTCATTACACCCTAAATTTGAGAGTGTAAATTTAACACCCAGAGTTAAAATCAAACTATTTGTAGTGTTGGATTAACACTGCTCAGTAGTCAGTAGAAATAATGGAGTCACCAGGAAGTACCTGTCACTGGYGTCAATTTATGGTCAATAACAAACTTAAACTTGAATAACTTGATCAAACTGAACAAGAAAACTAAGCAGAACAACTAATTTTTACTCTCATGGACTTTTTTAATAGTCATAAACATAAAAACACATCATTTCTACAAGATTACCCAGCATTCCTTGCTGAGAGAATACTGGTCTGTCTGACTGGTGGAATAGGGCGGGGCTTTTCAGAATACTTCTTTCAACACTGCATGGTGTCATATAACTGCACTGTTGAGTGTTATATAAGACTTAACAGTGGGCGGAGCTTATTTAACACTGTCCATTGTTGAGACAACACTGAGGAAATCAACACTGTGAATTAACACCAACACTGGATGTCTGTTTACTCAGAAAGTGTTAAAATAACACTAGAGGGTGTTAAATTAACACCCAAAAGTTTAACACTTCTGTTTTTGCTGTGTTCCTTWAATGAATGCTAGGCCTTTAATATTCAACAGAAACTATTATTTCTTGACTTGTGGATTTTTAGTTTGATGCTGGAAAAAATCAGTCTGAATGGTTGTGTCTCATTTCATGTACCTGACTGAAGTTTTAATAATAAAAACACTAACGTGCAGTTTAAATCTGTTGCTACACATCTTCAGCTGCAGAACCAGTCTTTGTATTTAATTTTCCGTGTCCTGGATGACTGAGAATCCACAGCAACATATGAAAGAGCTGTTGTCAGACTGTATCAATGCTAAAGCTACTGGATCAATATTTTTATTTAGTTAGTTTCACTTCCAGCTCCAGAGCCACCGGTCAGAGGCAGGTTCAGATAGAAGCACTGAACTAAACTGGCAGATCAGATAATTATTTAGTCAGCTCTGACTCCACACGCTAATGTGTACCATCCATATTTACTTGTGTAAACAGCAGCTGAATGTGATGTCACRTCTTCWTCATCGACGTCACAGTCTGGAGTCTGATGGAGGTCAGGTTAAAATCAATCAGAATGGAGCATTAAGGGCTGCAGTGTGAACCTAGCCTCTAAGTTACTCCTGAGTGATGGGTTTCTCCTCTCCACCTCTCTGTCTGCCTCCTCAGGGGCAGTACTGTGACATTTGCAGTAAGGAGGACGGTGACCGCGCCCATCCCATCACCAACGCCATCGACGGGACTGAGCGATGGTGGCAGAGCCCCCCCCTGTCCCGCAGCACCGAGTACAACGAGCTGAATGTCACCCTGGACCTGGGCCAGGTAGGAAAGCCATGACTGTTATCCTGCTGGTGTTTAAATTCAGCTCTGTTGTCCTCTGTGTGGTTGAAGGTACTGAAGTGTTTCTATCTCGGTGTGTTTTATCTTCCTGAACCTCACTTGTTGCTCTGAAACAGTCTGCATGTGAGCACATCCAGGTTCAAACCCTGTGGTCGGCTTCTAGATGGACTTTCAGCTGGATTTATGTTCAGATAAACACAAATCTGTTCTGTGATGTATTAGAGCTGTTTGTTGGTTCACAAACTAATCTGTAGGGTTGATAAGTTTCCTGGATTATCAACTGAAAGGGGTTTGAGTCTCAGTGTGACTCAGTAGCAGCCGTTTCTGTCAGACTCTGTTCTTCCTGTTCGGACGATGAATGAAAGAAACCAAAGGATTTTTCTTCCTTCTTTRTGAACTGGAGTGGTTGGACCTTGTTTCAGTCCACAGAGCCTGAAGAGCTCCACTTTAACCTTTATTGTGTTTTTTGAAACGTGTTCTTGAAGGGCCTCTTCAGGCTCCTGAATGTGGCTCTTTGTGCCCAGCTCTCCTAAATGAGATGTGTGTGTTTAATGTGTTTCAAACCTCTTCTGGTCTACCTTGTAGCGTTGATTTAAAAAGCTCTTSCAGAAGAACAATCTGAGTACCAACAGTGTATTTATCTCTTATTGCTTGTCGCATAAAAAATTATAAAACAACTTTCAGAGAGTAGTTGTTGGATCTACAACTGAATAACCTTTGAAGGCAACCCTATCCAAGATGGCTGACACAGCCAAGTGAAAACAAGAAACAGTCTACACTCAACATTTTACAGATATTGAGCTAAAATTGAGTTTGTTAGAAGCGGAACATTACACATTACACAACATCTCTGTTYAAACTGATGGAGTTGACTGTTAGCAAARTTTCTCATAAACAACAGGACAGATTTTAATGAAACTCTTGAAATACACTATATTGCCAAAGGTCTTTGCTCACCCATCCAAATGACTGTGCACCAGTGCACAAAGCAAGCTCCATAAAGACGTGGATGGCAGAGTCTGGTGTGGATGAACTTGACTGGCCTGCACAGAGTCCCGACGTCAATCACATAGAACACCTTTGGAATGAATTAGAGTGGAGACTGAGAGCCAGGCCTTCTGTCCAACCTCACAAATGTGCTTCTGGGAGAATGGTCAAAAATCCYYATAAACACTCCTAAACCTTGTGGAGAGCCTTTCCAGAAGAGTTGAAGCTGTTCTAGCTGCAAAGGATGGACCAACGTTGTATTGAACGTCATATGGATTAGGAATGTGATGTACCTTAAGCTCATATAAGTCAAGGCATGTGAGTGAATACTTTTGGCAATGAAGTGTATAAGCACTGACTGTTGATCTGCAACTGATGAACATTTAGAGCTAACATAATTCACCATTTGATATTTACAATTACAAATTGGCTCCAGCTCTGAGAGTTTTACAAATAAGCAGCACTTTTTCATTTCTCTGTCCATCTTTCAGAAATGTTGTCATTACATATTTTGCTAACACTTTAGACAGACACATTCATTTCTGTAGCTTAACACTGGCCTTTACACTAAACCTAACCACAGAGATGTTCCATTGCATCAGAACCAGGCTTTGTAGGTGTTCATACCAGAAATAGTCCTAAAAAGGTAACAGAACCAGGTACACACGTGCAAAGACAGTATCTCTCACCTGCTTCATTGAGAAAAGAAGCAAGTTCACAGATTTCTTCTGTCTTGTTTTGAAAGAATGTTGGTGGGTAACGGCCAGGCRTTGTTCGTGTCTGAGACAGAGCAGAGACGGGTCTGAAGACCCCCCACCTTATGAGAAAAAAAGACTGGAATCCAAGTTAACCTGCCTCAACCTGCAGAGTGTTGGCCTTGTTGAGCTAGACCATTATTTTGACATCAACGTGTCCAAAAAAAATCAATAAATCAGTAACTAATTTACAGAAGTAGATGAGCTGCGTTATTCCACCTGACAGATGTGATCAGAGAAGTAACGCAGCAGGAAGTGACATCAGAGCATAAATTGAAGGCTTTATTGCAGAGATCATCAAAGGGTGGCCCGTGGGCTAGATCTGTGGGTGGGGTGGTGGGCGACGKGTGGTTAGGGAGAAGTGGAGGTAGTGGGGAGATGGTAGCGCCCACCCACAAAGACGAAAACCAAGTTTCTTTGAGAGTTTCTTTATACTGTAATTATCAGCACATATTCTGATGGAAAACCTCAAACACTGAATGTCCCACTGGTTTTATCATAGGAGAAAGATGTATTTTTAAAAGATATTACTTCTTCTTGTTGGTGCTGCTGCAGCTCAGGGGTCAGCCTTGAGATTACAAGGCTCAGGCTGTAGGTTCAAGTCCAGGTGACAGTGACTCAGGATACAGCCCTCTTCCCAACATGGAAGGACCATGTCCTGTCCGGCAATGTGAAACTCAGAATTCAAAAACGTCAATATTTTTCTCAGTAAATACATTATTACTAGAGGTGCTAATGACATGAAATTTTCACCAGATGTTGGTAACATCCCAAGTGATCCATACATACAAAGAAATCAAACCATAAATGTCCAGAAATGAAGTTATTTGTAATAATGTGGAAT